AACAATTACTTGGAGTTCCGGCTCTTGAAACCGAGACAGGAGTTGATCAGGCTAATGCAATATTTCAAACACTTGAAGATTGGTGTGTTACAGATAATATTCAAGCAGTATGCTGTGATACAACTGCCTCCAACATGGGTCGTATAAAAGGTGCCTCTGTTTTATTGGAGCATTTACTACAGCGTAATATTTTATACGTGCCTAGTCGGCATCATATTTTTGAAATTGTATTGAGAAGTGTATTTGAAGTGAAATTTGGTATAACTACATCAGGTCCAGACGTTCCAATTTTTAAACGATTTAGAGAATTTTGGTCAAATGTAAATACTACAAATTTTGAATCTGGTATCAAAAATGAATATGTTGAAAAATTATTGCACAACGTTAGTACAGAAATAATAGAGTTTTGTATTAGTTATTTAAATAATAGGCTCCCCAGGGAAGATTATAGGGAACTGTTAGAGTTAACCATAATTTTTCTTGGAGGAGTACCACCACGAGGACTCTCATTTAAAATACCTGGAGCCATACACCATGCACGGTGGATGGCCAAAGCAATATACTGTTTAAAAATATATATATTTCGAAAACAGTTTGATTTAAAACAACGTGAAGAAATATCTATTGCTAGTATATGCGTGTTTATTGTTAAATTATATGTAAAGGTTTGGTTTAAAGCTCCTCTAACTTCATGTGCGCCACTGCAAGATTTAACATTTTTAAAAGATTTAATAAAATATCAGTCAGTCGATAAGAGTATTTCAGATATATCCATAAAAAAAATGTGTGGGCATTTATGGTATTTATCTCCAGAAGCTGCAGCATTCTCATTTTTTGACGAGGATGTCTCCGTGGAAACAAAGAAAAAAATGATAACGGCTTTAAATACGGACTCCGAAGACGAATTCAGAAAACAATATATTCTCAAACCAAACCAAGTTGATTCAATTTTAAACAAAGGTCTTGAAGATTTTATATGTTCAGAATCTATGACACTATTTAATCGCTTCAAAATAAATACTGAATTCCTAAAAATTGATCCGTCATCTTGGCAAAATAATGAAAACTACAAAAAAGCTGCAGCTATAATTAAAAATATACCTGTTGTCAATGATGTTGCTGAGCGAGGGGTTAAACTAATAGAAGAGTATAATGACAAAATAACAAAAGACGAAAGCCAAAAACAATATTTACTGCAAGTTGGTACGACTATCGTAAAACATATCCAGACTCAAGAAAAGGAACACTAATGAAGAAATAAAATTGCATGTAATGATGATAAATATTATATTGACTGTCATTTGTCATTTACATCACACTGTTTTAGTCTGTTTATATTACGTATTAGTATATTACATTTATTTTATGATATGAAGCAATAATTAATATACATTTTTTTAATTGTCAAATAATATTTACTCAAAATTTCTAAAATCGAATATGATAATTAGGCTTTTTACCATAATAGGTATGTTTATACATTTTTTTCTTTTCTTTCATAATTACCTTAATAAATTGCAGTAAGTTTATAATAAAATAGATCAGAATATAAATTTTAGAAAATATTGTTTTCTAAAAGAAAGTTAAGTATACGTTTAAAAAAAAATACTTATTTTAGGACCTACGATTAAAAAAAAAAAAAAAATTGTTTTCTTGAAAAATCAAGGTATATCAATCTTTGGCGCTCTTGTGGTTAATTATTTTCAATCATTCTCAAACTTTACAAAACTAATTTTTATCACTATCCAAACGACTTTGGGGGGTTTTATCTGAATAAATCAGAGATCGAAAAATAAGGACCACCCTAATATACCTATGGGTATGGATATACGCTTATACTAGTATATAATCACACACATAGATTTAGATGTGTAATATTATTATAGTTAGGTGTCAAGATAATTTACGCTTATAATATAACATAATATTGTTAATTATATATTTAATAATATTACATTAATAATTACGGAAGCCGAACATATTTTATTCGACGGTCGTATTATGGGATCGGCAGCTACAAAATAACATTGACTATAATATTATATAGTTGTTGACCGGATCTGGCTCGATCGATCGTGATAGGTACGTCCCGACCATTAGCCGGAACCGAATATTTTTTTTTCGTTTACACACACAGTGACGCATGGCGTTGCTGTCCTCGATGATCTGTGCGTCGGATACGTAGTTCTCAGTTCGTCTTGTTCTCTGCGTGCACCTCGCTCAACAATGGCAGAGCGGCGCCACCGGAAGTTGGAAAGAAGCTTTAACAATACATTCGACTAGCCACTAGCGTATCCGGTAAATCGTGCATTGGTTCCTCGGATGGATTGACAGTGTTCGATTGTGGTTGGATGTTCAACATAATATTTCTTCATCACAATAATATTTTCCAAACGATTGAGTAACTTTTCAGACTCACATCTCTGGGTAAGTACCGTACAAGTCTTGCAATTTATTTTTATGAAAATGTCTGTAACAAATGTTATTATTTTTGTTGTCCCGTTTAGAAATAATTAGTGCACTCTTATAATATGTTCACCAACTTATTTTTCATTCGATTAATACCTAACAATGTCTTTAATTAAGTAGGTACATCAGTGGCGTAGCGTATGCGTATGCTGTGTATGCACGGCATACACTTCACAAAATAAAAAAATATTTTTTATACATTAATAATACTATATTTTTATAAAAATGTTTTAAATTTCATTGTACTAATTTAGTGCTTCGTAATATAATATTTTGTGGATATTTTTCCAAGTTCATTAACCATTAGGATTGATTAATCTTTCACACCACTTCCGAGATGCGCTATAGTCCTTATTGGGATAAAGAAATAACACTTGGAGCGCTGATGGCTTATCAAAGATGTCCGCGCAAGTAGGATGATTATGGTCTGTGTACTAGTGACTACTACACTGTGAATAGGTATTTAATTATTGTACTAGATTATATTATTATTACATACCTATTTTATTTTAATAATATTTCAAAATGATATTAAGTCTACAAGACATATTCGTGTTTGTGAAGTGTACTATAAACTCCAGGAATTTAGTAGAAGGCGAATGTGTCCTAAATAGTAATCAAATAATACTATGTGGAAAAATTATTACAGAAAACGTAAGTTTTGAAATAATAATTATAAAAACTGCTTTATATTGCTTTATGGCTGTTGTAATTCATAGAGTGCATGTATAGCTATAAAATGCTTAGTGCTTAAAACAACACAGCTTTCTGATATGCCACATGAAGTTAAAGGTCAATTCAAAATAAGCAATGGTGTTAATGAATTGGCCAAAAAACTAGAAATTGGTTAGGTACTTTGCTTGCTCTTGCCCTGCTGGTGCATCTGAATGTTGCAAACATGTAGTAGCTGTGCTTTTATACCTAAATAGGTACATTTATTTTTAATTAAATGATAGCAAAAGTAAATTTTATAATATATTACATTTCTAATTAAACAAGTACTTTTGTATATTTTAGGACTCACATTGAAGATATTTCTTGCCTTTCAAGCACTGATGTTGCATGTCAATGGTCTAAGCTTAAACAACCATCATTAGAACAATATAAACCAGTTCCTCTAGAAGATTTTTGTTGCATTAAGATAAAACAAAACAATCGGGCCCCTAGTTTAGAAGTAAACGGACCTTTAATTCTGTAAGTTGATTTTTTTTCATCACTTTTACATTTTTGAGATGGTAGTTTATATAAAATATATACTCTAAAATAAGAATACCTATATATTTTTTCATTTTATTGACATTCTTATTTTAGTTAAAAATTCTCATAAATATGCTTTTTTCATATCACAATAATAAATTACCTAATAAACATAAGAGTGATATAAAACAAAATTTGAACTTGATCTATATTTACTATTTAGTATATTATGATTATTTGTTATTTTAATTAAATCACATTTTATTTACAGTGCAGAACTTTTATCAGCAGCTGGTGATTCGGCTTTACAACTTCACATTAAAGGCCGAAATTTAAAAAGATCATTAATTATTAATGAACCAGAGACAAATGATGTAGTAGAAAAATTGAATCTGTTAAAACCACATTGTGTAATTGAGATTATTTATAATTATGGAGTTATTAACTTGGGTGATTGTTGTCAGAAAACTTTTTCAAAGCTATCACAATTTGAACCAGACTACATCAGAATACGATCAAAAACAGACAAACATTTTTGGGATGATGTTAGACAATATAGAATAACTGGTAGCAGGCGTTATTCATTATACACATATAACATGAAACCTAGAACAGAGGAAGAATGGAATTCAAAAGCGTCTAAGTATTTTTGGCCTGTGTAAGTTTCTAATAAATTTGTACACCACGGAATTAAGTATGAAAATACAGCTAGAATTCTATATGAAAAAGAAACAGGTATACAAATTCTTCAATGTGGATGTATTACATGGCCAAATGATCCATGGTTGAGCTATTCGCCAGTTGGTTTAATAATAAATGAATTTAATGTTCCTATAAAACTCATTGAAATTAAATGTCCTTTCAAAGGGAAAAGTATGAATTCCCAAGAGCTTATTGAAAACCTTAATTATATTAATTATTCAGAAAACTCTTACCAGTTAAAAAAAAAACATAGTACAGCTAGGTAAGGCAAGTACAGCTAGGTATGGCTATGACAAATACCAATGATTGTGATTTCATTATTTATAGTTCCTTTGAAAACAAAATTGTGATCATTAATGTTCCTATAGATATAGATTTTTGTAAGAGTTTATTGTTAAATTTAAAAACTATTTATTATGAAAAAATGATACATGAGATTTGTATAATAAAAAAATATATTTAAGTCATGTGTTCCTTTTTTTATTATATGCCAAACATAATATTATACATTAGGTACAGAAAATAGTTTATACAGTATTAAAAATAATTACTTATAGTTGTTCACAAATTTTTAATATTCTTAAGAAGTATATAATAAAAATAGTAATTAAATTTATAATTTGAAATAATATTTAAACAATAAATTTATCTTCAGCAAATATAGGTTTGCTTAAATTAAAAATAGCACTAATAATGGTTATTATGTCATTGGCTAAATTTGCATGAGCCCACTGGAATTTATTTTGAAAAATTTTAAAGGTTTTGATTCGCTGATTTATGCGTTCAATATGCAAACGAGCACTTGCAATATTTCGAGAAAGTAGAGCTTCTTCTTTAGAAAATTGTTTTTTACACCTTAAAAAGGGAGGTCTTATGAGGATCAAATTATACTTATTGCAAGTATCATCAATTTGAAACCCTTTATCAACCATTATTGCATCATGTTTGTTCATTAATTGAACAATATTACTTTGTTTAAATATAACATTGTCAGAAGCTCTTCCTCCATAGGCTTTACTTATAAAGGTAATGAGACCTCCAGGAGATACTCCCAACATAAATTTTAGAGTATAGTTCGATTTGTAATTGCTATAAAGTTTAATACGGCACGAAAGGCACTTAGGTTTTTGAATTGTAATTTCAGTAGGTACAGTCTAATATTACTCTAACATTGGGAAAATCATTAAAACAGTTTGGTAAATTTGATAAAATTTCATCATTACTAGACCAGTAAATACAGTTTTTTAGAAGGCAACTTAGTAAAGGTATTGTCGATAAGAAAATTTGTCTGCAAGAAGAAACACTTATATTTTTAAAAAGAACAGCTAGTACAGCAAATGATAGGTCTTGTTTTAGTTTGGTGAATTCTAATACAATACGACCAATACGTCCTTTAATGTCTAGGTTATGGGTTCTTTTATCAGGAAAATGTTTTGAAAAAAGTTCACATATTTTATTTAAGAGGATAAATGATGGAATACCAGTCATGGTGATTAATTTTGGTTGGGTATCAATCATGCTAAAAAATGATTTAAATATATCACCACTCATAACTTGCACCGCTGCATCTTTATACTCTCTCTGCAGTTCAGGTTCACAGAATATAGTGTTATGTTCTATAACAGGCAGATTTTCTGTTTCCAATTCAAGAACATGATCTAATACCGTTTGTGCTAAGACAAAAAAAAATTATACACTGCATTTTAATCAAAAAAATATAAATTTAAGTACCTTGTACTGCAAGACCTTTATCAAAATTTCTTTTCTTAGGAACTGTTCTTTTCTTTGGAGAGGGCCTGGTCACAGTTGATTTGGGGAGATTTTGTGAAGGAATGGCATTTTTTTTTAATAAACGTTTTAATGTTTCTACACCTATTTAAAGTATGTACTACTATTAAATTACACATCTATATAAGTGTATTAGGTATACATTTCATACGAGTTATATGAAATACTAATTGGTTAACAAGTCAAAATAATATTATACCTGGAGGTGTTGGAAAAAAATCTTCATTTACGAAATGTTTAGAACAAATTCGAATTTTTTTTTTCAGGGTTTCTTTCCCCATTCGAAGTTGTATTTCCCAAGCTCGTCTTCTATCTATTAATTCTGTTGACCCATTCTTATTGAAACGGCACGGTCACAATGGACCGGCGTCCGAAATAATAACGCTTGGGGTTTTCGTTATTACATCTTATTCTGTATTTTTACACAAATATATTTTGTACAATGTGGGGGCAGCGAGGATCACGGGTGTGACGGTTGGTCTATGGAGACGGACCGTCGCGGTGAGACCTCGGCACGGCCAGCAATTGCTAGGCCCTAATTACAAATATGAAGGGAATGTTTGGGGGGGAAACGGACGATAACAGTCGCCGTATGGACGGGGTCAGTATACCACGGCGCGTGACTCGTAAGAAGCGGCTACTGTGATATACTAGACCCGGGTTTCGACACAACTTGATCAAGTGGCCGTAGGAGGGGACGTATGGGTGGTGTTTTAGTCTCCGACTGTTGGAGTCGACGGTGACGGTGGATACCGGCGCTGCGCGGCGACTGCTTGGCTCCTGGTACTCCGTGCGGCGGGTACTTGCCGGTCGGGAAGGCGTGTGTGCGGCTGGTTCTCCGAGTACGACGCCGTGGGCGTATTGAAATGCCGTCTACCTCGACGTGGCTCTCCTGCCGGTTGCGTGTGGCGGTCGACGATTGGCTGCGGTTTTGAATGATTCGGGCTTGGGTCGACTTGTGGCCGGCGTTCGTCGTTCACGATATCCCGCTGGTTGTCGGCGACTTATGGCGGCTTCGTGGATCGTCAGGTCTTCGGGTCTTCACTTCTTCTGGTGTTGAGATGTTGAAGGTTGGTGTGTTGAGAGAAGACTGATGTCGGTGCTTTGCTTTGCTTTGGGGGGATGGCTAAGCCGTGAAACTATACCAGGCTTTTGCCTCTACTAGTGGATGGAAGTTTAGGAAGGTGGTTTTAAATTTGTTGGTCAGCCCATGTCAAAGGGTAGGGTTTGATTCTACACTTTGTGGACGGTGGGGTGTGAGATTTCCCTAAGAGTCGGATGTCGGTGCGGTGAAAACGTCCGGTATATATACCCGGCCCCGTACCGACTAGTAAACTCCCGTGTTGCCGCCGCTGTCGTTGTGTTTAGGTTCTGTGCGGGAAGTGGTGGCGTCCGCACAGTTTTGGGGCTCTAGGTATGGGGATGGTTTTGTTCGATGGGTCTTGTTCTCACCTTTGGATCCCTTGTATTCCAGAGTGTGGAACAACCCCGGACCCTCGTACTGAGGGCGCAAAGTCATTCCGCCGGGCTGTGCTACCGTTCTGGGCCCTGATTGGTGGACCGTTTTATATGTATGACGGTGTACTGTTACATTATTTGTCCACATAACTTTGATTTTATCAGCTTCGGGAATCCAATGAAAACTTATACTACTCTCAGTTGAGTAAAAGCTTTTACAACCATACACCAAGCAATACACATGGCTCTTCGACTTTACCTTGTTATGTCGGCATTCACCTAAAACACCTATACTTACATTCAATATGATTCATACAATATTAAATGTATGTACATCAAATATATTTGAACATTAAACATAGGTATAATTAATACCTATAAATAATAAAAATGACATGATACACTTACAAATCAAAAAACGTTCATTTTTATTATATTATTTTACCTATCTATTGTATTAAATATTAATATGTACTCACTCATTTTCTAAATGTTAGACGTCAGTGGTCAGACGATAAATATTGGTCGGCGTAAATACCTAATAAATATAGGTAGGTAGTACCAAAGTTAGATAGGTATAGTAGATAGTACCACGAACAGTTTCCAAAAAAAAAATGTCCACTAGACATTTCCCTAGTACACCTACCCATATAATATTATTATCAACATTTTGTTATTGTAAGTAGGTATAAACAAATATGCACACTACAATATCTATGTACATAATATAATATATCAAAATGTAAAAATATAACAAAATATTGGTAGGTACACTTACGATTTGTCTTTTGTTAAATAGGTACCTACTTTTTTTTAAATATTTTTACATTTTGATATATTATAATTAAAATGTAATAATATAATATATCAAAATGTAAAAAAAAAAAAAAGTATGTATAACAAAAGACCAATCGTAAGTGTACCTATACCAATAATTTGTTAAATTTTTAAATTCTGATATATATTATGTACATAGATACTTACTTAATTTTTGTGCATATCTGTTTGTACATATAATAACAAACTGTTGATAATAATATTATACAGGTAGGTACTAGGTAACTTTAAAGTTGACATATTTTTGGAAACTGTTCGTGGAACTATCTACTATAGCTACCTATAATTATTAGGTATTGACCCCCACCAATATTTTCGAGCTCTAAGTAATGGACAATGTCTCAAACTTTTAATATTTATTTTTCATCAAACTCTTTTTGGTCATGTCCCGTGTCTTCATTCATGCTGCGGACCTAGAGAAAATAAAATATGCTGTGTAAGACAAGAAATGCTACTACTACTATAATATTATTATTATTGATCAAGGCATGTTCGGTTTCCATATTGTTGAGTTCTAAATAGGTAGGTAGTGTATAACATGTAGATATAATTATTGAAAATCTTTACTTTTTTCACTTTTTTGAATGTATTAAAATAAATGAGTTATGTTAATAATAAATTATTGTCGGTTTTGACTATCCGCGCAACACTTTTTCCCTTTATTTTCGTTATAGTACCTACCTACTTGTGTGTTAACTATAAAAAGTATAATAACTCAAAAACTACTCTTTGACATTTCGAATCATGATGTCGATGAATATAAAATATATAAACAGGACGATTCACTATTTCACCAAGCATACCCACCCCCAATTAACATATTTGAAAATATTTCTTTCACACAACGACAACGTTGTTGTAAAATATAAAATATGGCCACAGACAATCGATTCATACACAGTATCTTTCAGGAGAAGACTCATGCACAACGTCCACGCCAGTCAACATCACGATCTTTTTCCACTACTATCCAAGCCATCACTGTGCGTTTATGCGTATACAATATATATTGTATATTGAATCATTCCTTCACCCGGTATGTCTGTCTAAATTAGTTGTCTCTTTCACAATTAAATTGAAATTGTTCATCTTTTTACACTCACCTATCCATTGGTCTTTCAAAACGTAAGGTTCTGTGACTGTTATCATATTATAGGCCTGTTGCATCACTACTGCACATTTATGTCTTAGAACACGAGTATAGAAGTAAGTGCTCTCTTAACATAAATTACATTCGGTCGACGGTTGGACTATAAGTAATAGCTGCCACGAATGTAGGAATTCTAAGAGCTGTGTTCAAGATATAAATGTGTAATAACAAATATTCATCACATTAAATTACATTCGGCTGGTGGAGAGACTATACGTACTCCTGTTACTAATACAAGGATTTTGAGAGTATATGGTGATAGTCACAGGAAGAAATTATATACGAAATCCTACAGATCACATAAAAGAATATACATGTATTGTGATCGTGATATCGACTATTGAACACGACCCCGAAGGACAACAAACACTTAAGAGAAAACCAGCTGCAGTGAGGTAAGTGTTTGAATATTTATATAATAAAAGTAGGTGATTCAAATATCATTAGGCAGTTAGGTAGAACACAGTAGTAGGGCGATCCTATGCGGAAACAATCAAAAACCAACATAATTTTACACAATTCACAGATACGTAAACGTATAGGTACACACACATACACGCACTGCGTATAAAGCATACTATAGCATATCACCCACCATCAACATTATAGCGGGGGTCATTGAACCATCATTCCCCGAAGGACACTGCCAACAGGTTCGCCAGATGCGTCCCTTGCTCGTTAAAGTAGATCATTAACCCACGTACTCATCGTACATCACGCATCGTTCTATATATCGTATCACATGTAATGGGATTACGCAATATCATATATTTTGCTCATAATAACAACCAGGAATGCGACCACACCCAAAAGTGTTTTCGACTA